GCTGAAATAAAAAAAAAAAAAGAAATATCCCTTTTTCCTTTGTGGAATTATGGCTGTCATTCAAGGTATACTTAAAGCAATTTTGTTATTATGAAACTGTTGTAATAATAGAATTTTGAAGAGTCACTCATTTGACTGGTAAGTTATCAAGTGTTGCCTCTTCTATCATGCCTTTCCTGACTTCCTCGCAAAACTATCCTCTTTCTCCTGTACTTTCTACATAACACCATTATTATAGCATTTATAAGACCATACTATGATTATTTGGTTGTCTATGTCTGTCTCCCACAGCATCTAGCCCAGTGCCTGGTACTACTATGTGAGCAATAAGTGCTTAAAAATGAATGAAGGAAGGAAACAAATCTTTCTCGGAAATGTTATGTAAGCACACACTTGGAATAAAGATATAATATTGGCTGATAGTCATACCCTATGTACCCAAAGAGTTCATAAAACATACCTAAAATTATCAAGCCTGCTCAGAATAGATATGGTTAGAAACTTGGATTCCAGTGACTCCAAATTCCTTCTCAGATCCAGTATGGCAAAGCAGTACAAGATCAAGGAGAAGAAAAAAGGAAGGAAATCAGTTTGCATCGAATACTGGTTTGCTTCTAGCAGGTTGGCGCATCTCCTTACCTAGGCTGGAATAAATGTTACTGAGAATACGAGCTGGTTGTACTCTGATGGGGTATACCTCAGCAATGGTCTCCACATCAATTCCCTTGTCCTTCAAAATGGCCTTTATTTCTTCTGTTTCAGCTAGAATGGAGACTAAAGGAAAGAAAGAAGATGAGGTCAACAGAAAATTTTATCTCAAGAGGAACCTAAAAATCTCTCAAGCCACAAAATTTCTTTTGAAGGGAAAAAAAAGGAAGCAGAGGAAATTAACAGTTACTGAGGAACTTTGATGAAACAGTATCATGCTAGGTACTTAACAATATTATCTAAATGGAAAAGAAAAAAGATCTCATGACTAGAGTATTAGATTGTGCTTTCTGGCTAAGTACCCATGTGTTCCTATAGAATGCCATATTCTCTTTATATCTGAGATTCCATGTACAAATGGGAAAAATAATCTATCACGAGGTTTGTTACAGCTTTGATAAAAATTGATTTCCCCAGCTCCTTCATATCAGTACACTTTAGGTCAGCCCCAGAAATGTGAGGGTAATAAATAACACCCTAAAGACAAGAGTTTCCCTATAGTTAGAGAATGGTAGAAAGCAGGGTGAATTGGGGATAAAGATTTGAACCATCAACATAAGAAGGTATTACACTTGAAATTGTGTATTTTTTTGGGAGGGGATATGTGGGAAGAGATGGGGATGATACTTCTCTAGACTCAGAGCCTGCCAAGCCTAGACAGCTCCCTTTTCTTCCCACTCACGTTACTGAAGTGGTTAAGCCTACCCACAAGGGAGAGGACCAGGCTAGATCCCTGTTTCTTCTTTTCACTTTCCCTCTATGGGACAGATACCTGGTTGGGAGCCAGTAAACCAAGTAATTACAGAGTCCCCTGAACTTAACACTATCTTGATTACCTCTAACTGAAAACATGAAAATGAAAGAGATTCTTCAGCGAAAATGTACAGAGGAAGAATGAGAGTTGCCTGAGAACAGTCTAGGGAAATACATGTGGTCATTTACTGATTCATTAATAAATATTTATTAAGTACCTAAATGTATGAGGTACTATGCTAGGCACCAGGGATAGAATGAATAAAGATGAATAAACTAGTCTCTTCCTCAAGGAGCTCACAGTGTAACAGAAGTGGCACACACATGAACTGATTATAAAATAACCTGCTAGGTAAGTAGAGATATGCACAAAACATTATGAGACCACCCTGGAGTGACACCTATCTGGTGTGGGGTTGGGAGGGGTGGTTTCAGGAAAGGCTTCCTAAAAGAGCTGATGCCTAAACCTGAGTTTGAAAGAATGAATAAATTAGCCAGAAGAAAGAAGATAGGAAGGAGATAGCCATTCTAGGTAGAGGGTCCAAAATGAACTTAATGAGATGAAAAAGAATGTGGCTGCATGTGTAGCATGAAGTATCTTGCACAGTGGCCACAGAAATGAATCTGGAAAGGAAGACAGGGGCTAGATCATCATGGAGGGCATATGCGTCACTTTAAGGGTTTTCTATTTTATCCTTGGGCAATGCTTTCCAAATTTCATTCTACTGAGCCTCAGGGTCCTACAGGAGGCAATGTAATTAGTAGTTAGAGCACAGGAGACTGAAGGAGAGTAAAGTGAACAAACTCTGGGGTACCAGGAGTACTTTCAACTCAAGCAACTCAGTTTTTTGTTTATATTTTATGAAATATTTAGAAAATTCTTATTTAATGCCTCTTATGTATTAGGCACTGCCAAATGGTAGGGGTATGTATATAAACATATATGATCCCCACATGGAGAAAATAATACTGATACTGAGTCCTGCTGGATGGCTCAACGGGAGTTACTCTGATAGAGGTGATGGTAAAAGTAAGGGAGAAATTGTTCCAGACAGAAGAAATAGCATGGACAAAGGCTCAAGGGAGCAGAGAACAAGGCAGATCTAGGATTTATAAAAAGTTCTTTATATCAGGAGGAGTATAAAGAGGCAGTGATGAGAAATGAAGCTGGAGATAGAGTCAGGAGCCAGATCATACAGAGCCTTGTAAGCCATATTAAGGAGACTGCCAAAGGGGAAGTTCCTACAGAGTTATAATCAGATGAATAACATATCCATGCCTGCATCTTAAAAAGAATATTTTTCAGTTGATAAAAGAAGAATAAACTGATACTGTAGTGGGCCTAGACTGAAGACAGAGAGAACAGTTAAAAAGTTATTGCAGTAATACAAGGGAGAAATGTTGATTACCTACATTGGGATCATGATATTGGTACTGAAGAAAACTGCATGGATTTCAGAATTATTTAGGAAGTAAAGAAGCCAGAACCTGTTAACTGATTGAATGTAGGATGTGAGAAAGAGGGAGATATTGAGAAGGATTCTCTGGGTGTTTATTTGTGTAACTGAGAAGATAGTGTGCCATTTACTGACACAGGCACATAGGAGGAAAAGCAGGTATGAGTGATATAATACTAGGAGGGTGCACCTGATTAATTTTAGACATGTTGAATAAATTTACAGTGCATGTGAGACATCCAAAGAGGTTAAAAGAAGCTGATACACATTCAGGAGTCATTAGCATAGATGAGATGGGTCAAGGAGAAAATACAGAGAAGAGGAGACGAGGACCTGGAATATAAGCTTGAGAAATTCCAACATATAAGGAATGCGCAGATGAAGTAAAGCCTTGGGTGTGGTAGGGGAGTTCTTGTCTCATGGCTTATATTTTCTTTATGGTACAGGAGGTGAGGTCATCTTTTGAGAGTGAGGGAAGAAGTAAGAAGGTGGGAAAATAGAAAAGATTTGGAACAGGAGGAGGCTGACAGAAACAAATATTCAGAGTAAGAAGAGCAGTGGGCTAATGAGAGAACCCTCAGAAACACCAATGGTTAAGAGTCAAAAAGAAGAGGAAGCCCAGAATTAGACAGAAAAGTGCTTAATCTAGGTTGAAGGAGATCGAAGAGAGTATGGCATCATACAAGACGTGGGAGTTAAGAATTTCCAGAAAGATAAACAACAAATGGAACAGAAAGATCCACTAAGATTGAGATAGAAAAATATCTACCAAATTTGGCAATACAAAGGTCACTGGTAACTTAAGCATGAGCATGAGCATTTAAGCCTGACTATAAAGGACTACGGAATAAATGGTATATAAAGAAGCAGAAGTTTGAATGAAAAAGGAAGGAGCTATGTAGGCGTAGTTATAGAGGGAGATGAACATGTCAGTAGTCTAAAAAAACAGAACCAACAGAGCAGGAGAGCTTAAAGATTCCAGGAAAGAGAAAGTTTCTAGAGAAGGCTGGGGAAGATGTCAGAATCAAGCATCAGAAGGAATACTTGGCCTTAGAGAAGAAACCTTTTTTCTGAGATTGGAGAAAAGGAGGCAAGGATGGGTAAGATCGTAGGGGCAAGGAGGGCTGGGGAATTGATGACAATCAGAATATTAAGATTAACAGGCATGAAGAAGCGGGCCGAGGGGTAGGGTTGAAAACAGAGATGGTTTGGAATCGTGGTTGAGAAGTATGAAAACGCTAATGATAAGAACAAGGACTAACAGGAGGCACTGTAGACCTAGCTGAGTTGCAGACCATGGATTTACAGTGTCACTACTCTGCTCATTTGGGTGATTTTTTTTCCAGTAGCTATTAGCAAGCCAGGTATAGGATCAGAAAATGCGAATTGTAAGATTGTTCTGGGACTATGATTTTTCGGCTGAGTGTAGTAGAAATATGGTGCATTGGTGATTGAGAGATTTACTAAACCATGAGGCGGGGGAAGGAAGACTAGGAGAGAATAGAGACAAGCATAATGAGAAGAAAAAGAAAGCTGAAATAATATGAGGTTATGACCAGAGAATAGAATATTGGAATTTAGGTTCTGAGGTAGAAGAGTCCTAAAGTTTGGTCCTTGGAGTGGGCAGCTAAAGTAGAGATAGAAGGAAAGATCACTAGAGTTATGGATAGCCAAGAATTTTGAGGCTAAAATGTTAGATGGCACCTATGCCAATGCTGAAAATATATTGTAATAACCTACACTGGAAAAATAGATTTGCTTCTAGCCCGACAACAGGATTTGGGGAGGAAGAGGAAGCTGTGAGCCAAGCCTCAAAGTCTTCAATGAATGAATGAGAGCAACTAGGAGATCGATATAGCCAGATGGCATAAACCTCAAAGGTCAACAAGCTTTCTCATGGGAGGGGAAGAATAATGATCTTTATATGTTTGCTATACACACTGATAAGCAAGAACTACCTATATAACCATATGGGATACCAAGTATAAGAAGGTTTAGAAAATATATGGGATTATTTTCCATGTAGAACCAACTCCAAAGTCAAGTGACTGGAGACATTTCAAAGGAGCTTCACAGCAGGACTTAATACTGTATTGGATAATGATGTTGGAGATTCAAAAATCACCTCAAGCCTTCTACCCTACGAGACTAAAATGATGGTAATATCATTGAAAGAGATAAGGAATATGGAAAGATCTGCTTTTTTTGGGAGAGGTAAAAGGATGGGATAGAGACAGAGAGGTTAGTTTTGTGTTTGAAGTGTAAGTGCTAGAGATGTTTTATAGTTATTGGGACTAGAGTTGTTAACATGTTTATAGAACTCAACCCAGTGTTTTGCATACAGTACATGTCCCCAAATTTAAGTTGATTGTTAAGAACAAAAATAAAGGTCTGGAGTACTCTCTAAAGAGGTAATACTTGGAGCCGTGGAAACAAATTTATTATGAGGGAGGCAGGCCTAGCAAACTAATACAGGGTATAAATATAGAAAGACAAGAGTCGAAGACTTAAGTACAGAACCATCAGGAAGATATGGGAAAAAAGGAGTATTAGCAGAAAAAGAAAAGGAGTAGTCAGAGAGAAAGAGAGATAACCAGGAGGCTAAAATGTCATGACAGTTAAAAGAAAAGTTTCCAGAAATAAGGAATGGTTAAGATGTCAAATAGTATCTTGGAGTGCTCGGACATATTATTCATTTATGATTAGCAGTAATTTTGAAATGAAATTGAACTAAGTTTATTATATACTTTTTGAAGCCTAATAAAATGTCAACTGAAGAATAAAGTCATAATTTACTGGTCCAAAGATCTCTGCCCCTAGCCATACTTTTAACATAAAGCTTTTGCTGCTGGGAATAAGAATACATACCTTGAACCACAACATCTGGCTTTGGTACAGTAGAAAACCTACGATTCAGGGGATCAATTTCTCCAGGAGCTAAAAATCCCTAAAGAAAAACCATAAAAAGATGGATTATTCAGGCAGGATAATATAAGAGGTGTTAGATCACCATTGTTTTTTGTAGTTGAGTAGTATTCCATAGTATACATATACCAAATTTTATTAATCCACTCATGTATTGAAGGGCACCTTGGGTTGTTTCCACATCTTTGCAATTGTGAATTGTGCTGCCATAAACATTTGAGTGCAGATGTCTTTATAGATATCACAAGAATGTAAAAATAAGCACCACATGTATTCACCATCAAATTGGTACTAACTGATCAACACAAAGGTGCTCACGTGGTAGTAATATTCACTGGGTGTCAGTCAGATGGAGGGGTGTGGGTGGGTAAACTCACAACTAATGGATGCGGTGCATACTGTATTGGGGAAGGGCATGACTCTAACTCTGGCCTGGGCGAGGCAAAGTCATTACTTGTAACCAAAATGTTTGTACTCTCATAATATCCTGAAATAAAAAAAATAAAAATAATAAAAAAGATGGATTGTTAAGACTTAGAAAAACAAAACAAAACAAAATCTAATGTTTGAGGAGAAACAGCATTCCTATGCCCATAGCCCCATACCATAACATTTGAGAGGCAGGTACAGAAAGGAAACAAATACCTTCACTGTATAAAAGTGTTTGAACTCCCTGAATTCACATCCAAATTAATTTTATCTGAAGATAATTTCTATTGGCAGCCACAAATTCTTTTTTTGGAAATAGGTGAGGTATAAATTATAAATAAAGTTTTCTAGTTACTCCTCTATTTTTTCTGGATATAGTAATACATATGATTAGATGATCAGACCACAATGCTTATCAGTAATTTAAGCCATTAGTCCTGCTGTTTTCTCATTTGTTCATGTGTCTGCTGTGTCTTCTGCTCAGCAGAAATCTTTTGACTTGAGTTTCTGCTCTTTATGAAATGGGATGAACTCAACTATTTTCCCCTTAAGAATATCTTTTCTCATTGCATTTAATTTATTCTAATTGAAAGAGAAAGTTACCAGGTAAGGATTATTTTAAACAAAACGTTCTGTCCAGTATTGCTAGATTCATTTAGTAATGTCAACTAAAGATAACCAAACAGCCACAGCCATAATGGGAAAAAAAAGAACAAAGCAGCTGCAGAAAATCAATGGTCATATATAACAGGTCAAAGAGTCTGGCTTAGAAAGGATAGCTAAGTCCCACCCTCAATCCTCTAGGAGCTGGGTTATATCCTATCAAAATAACCTACACTGGGGAAATAGATTTGCCAGCAAATCTGAAAAACTTTTGAGAAAAAGAACCTTTCTGTTTAGGCTCAAAATGTCACAAAGAAGCTGGACACAAAGTCAGAAATTCCCCAGTGCTTCATTAAGAGCTATCTCAACAGAATTTAATATAAGGATCATTTAGAGAACCCCTGAACAAAAACCAAACAAACAAAAAATGCCCAACCAAACAAACAAAAACCATGATGTTCCTAATCACTTGTCATGGCACCTAAAATTACCAGTTAATTCAATTAAAGAATGAAACATTATGTTGCTTGGAAAGGTTAGTACTTAATCCATTATCAGTAATTAACTAGCTAAGCACAATTTCATTCATCACCAGGCAAGGCATTGAGGAGAGTTTTGAAAGGGAAAGATCTGGGGCCTGATTCCTGAGCAGCTCCAAGTACACTGCCAAAGTAGGGAGCCCCAGGCAGCATGAGGGATGTGGTTGCAGGGGGCAAAGGACTTTTGTCGAGGGTTGGCCATGCTCCCCCACTGAGGACCATTAGGAAAAACTATAATTAAGGCAAAGTGCAAAAGGCAAAAGACATCCTTCAGCTTTAATGAGCTTCTCGTGAATCTGATTATTATGGTGACTAAGGCAGAAAAAAGTGGGATAGCCTTTAAGTTTCCCCTTACCTCTGCCATCAAGCTTCCTAAAATGTATAGAGACTGACCCCACATATGAGGCAACTTCCCCATGGGGACTCGGTCCACAGTGTGAGGATTTTGATATTCTTCATCAACCTAAAAGAAAAGATGAAGAGGCCAGATGAGGAGTAATAGAAGGCTTAAGATACTAGACAATAAAAAGGCTGAGTCTGGATTGTGATTCGTATTCCATGTAGTCACATATGCAATGCACTGAAAAGTCAAGCACCGTAACTATAGTCTAGGGCAGTGCTCCTCAGACTGTTAGGTGCATACACATCACCTGAGGATCTTGTTAAAACGCAGATTCTGATTGAGTAGGTATGAGGTAAGGCCTGATACCTATTTCGTTAACAAGCTCTAATGCCACTAATGTGGCTAAGAGCTTATTATACCCATCCCCACCAGAAAGGAAGACTGTATCTCTCCCATATCTAACGCTCTTTTGCAATGGAGAAGAGAATGATGGTACACTCGACTGGCATTTTGGGAAAATGAGGACAGGGCATGCTTAATTTTCCAAACTTGATCTGTCTAAATAATCCTGGATTACTGGCCTCAAAGCAGAGAACACCAAATCCTGAGAGCTCACACAGAACATCACTCTAGTTCTACCTACTGATCTCCACATCACTTTCAACATTAAGGTTTGGTCTTTTCCTTGTCTTGCTGTGCAACAGTGCCATAATTGAGGCTGCTTTACGATTTATTTTTAAAGGAATAAAATCATATTTCTGTTTTCTTATACATAAGGACAACATTAAAATCAGAAGATTAAAAATTATTTGACTCAAATGAGGCAGTCCTATCAAGGTATTGCTCCTCTTCTATCAGCTATATGTTATGGCACTGTCCAACTCACCCTGTCGGGAGGAACACTGTACAGCTCTGGCAGAAGTGGCACTCCATTTTTGCCCTTGATGAGGACAGCTTCCAGAGCCTCTCTATACTCTTGAACCTACAGATCAAAGAAAGGCATAAAAAAAAACTTATAGAAAGTTCCCTTGGGGACCTAGGAGAAGTTTGTGGCCAAAGAAGGTCCTATTGCAAAGGAGCTTATTCACCTAGTAAAAGGGAAAGGAAAGGGAAATAGCATTTACTACATGCTTGTTGTTATAGGCTGAATATTAGCTGGGAGTTTTGCATACTTTAATGCATTTAATTTTAATAACCTTCCCAGGAAGTTTGTGTAATTAAAGCCCTTTAACAGGGAAATTAAGGCTCAAAGAGGTTGTGAACTTGTGGAAGATCACAGAGCAAGTACATGGTTGAGTCCAGAATGTAGCCCAGCTCCTCCATAGGCCTGTTTTGATCCACTATGTATACCATAAGTATAGCTTCTTGACTTTAGGATGTATTGGCTTTAAAACTGCATTCTTACCTGCTAAATAGGTTTCTATTATGGTCAAGTTTATGTTCTTTGCTTAACAATTTGCTGAAGCTTAGCAATACACAAAATGTAAAAAAATCAAAATCAAAATGAAATCATAATTTATGGTGGAAAACCATACAGTCAGTTCTGCTATAACACTTGTCTTAAAAACACAAATTTGTTCCAGTACATTGGATATATTAGGGAACAACTTGAGCATAACGTGAATTTCACGTTTGTACAATTTCATACTGAGAATGTACTCAGCTGAATTGAGCCATGTAAGAATACACAAAACATACACACATGTATACATCTCAGGAGGACAGTGAACCATAGCCATCCACATCTGCTGTTACAACTTCCTGTCCAATTTCAGATAACGCTCATTTCACCACTTCATAACTTACAAGCTGCAACCTTCTGATAGCCATGCTGGCTACACAGCTATGTGCTCTTTTTAAATTCTCCCCTTTCTCTCAGCCTATTTTTTAATTTTTCCTCTCTGCTCTCTGTTTTTTTCCCTCTATTTTTCTCTCACTTTTTTTTCCCTTCTCTTTTGTTCTTTTCCTCTTGCACACAGGGTGGCAGGCACGAGAGCCAGGTGGATGAGCTGGTGGGAACAAGCGCATACACTTCCACAAGCAAAATTAAGGTTTTTTCTAGGTAAAAGAACTATAACTATTGTGGTATTTATGTATTTCTTAACTACTTAACATATATAAAGCTGTGATACTGTTTTTATTAGGTTCCTATCATTCTGTATGTGTTACATTTTACGTGCTGTTCCCCTTACCCCGTTTTCCCATAAGCTCTGCAATTTTTATTTCTTAAATATGCACAGCATGGTGATTTTTAAAGAATGCATATGTCTCATTGCAGCAGACCTGACTGTACCTTGCATTTATAACATGTCTTTATCTGTGAAATTTAAAGAAGTTCAGGGATATCCTCTTCAATAAGCAGATAAAAACTATTTTTATCTTATGTACAGAGAAACTGAAGAAGTCAATTACAAACTTGGGCTACTCAATGATCAGGAGTGAAGCAAAAAAAAAAAAGAAGAAGAAGAAAGAATCCAGGTCTTCTAACTCTTAACTTAGTACCCTCAGCTACTAGTCTCTAAGAGACAACTCTATCTCCTCCCTGTTAGGAAGACTTCCATTTGGACACAGGGTTGGTATAGCCATTAACTGAAAGAAGACATAACAAGAACATCCTGCTGAAAAATGCTCCCTAGCTCATTACCTGTTCTGCATTGCCACTGAAGACCCCATCGAGGATAAAGTATGTCCAGAACAATGGCCATTCACACTCAATGTTTTCAAATAGCTTCAGTTCAGCTGGTTCATAGTACAGACGATTGGGATCCTGGTAAAAACACAATAAACAAACTCTGTCTTATCACTCAGATGTTAGATGTACATCTTTAGTTCAGAAGTATTATAATATGGACTTTCATTACTGATAGTTTATTTCAGAGAAGGTGGTCAGGAAGGCAGAGCATGTACATATTCCCCTCACTTTGCAAATACTCTATCGTGTGACTTCTAACTAGCAGAATTGGGATAATAATGACATCACAAGAGGGTGTGTGAAGAAGTAAGATTGGACTACAACAAAGTCGAGTTTGGTTTCATTTAAATTAAATTAAATTGAATTAAATTCATGTTAATTTTGAGGTAGTAGTAGGACATACAAATAGAAATGTTTAGAAGGACAGCGTCTAAACATGAGGGTTTGGGAATCATCCTGATACAGGCACACATGAAATAAAAGTTATAGATAAGCTTTGTGAAATATTACTACATAAAATGAGCAAACTGCCTAAGAATGGAATCTTGGTAAACCCTTAGAATGCTATGGGGGAAGGACAGAAAGAGAAGAATCAGGATACTATAGTGTTGTGGAAATTAAAATAGGAAAAAAAAATTCAAGAAAACTTAAGGGTAGATAACAGCAATGTACTACAGAGAAGTCAAGGAGAATAAGGATTGAGAAAAGGCTATTGGATTGGTCATTTAGGAGCTTATGATAATGTTTTAGAGCATACTTTTAGTATATTGGTAGGGGCAGAAGTCAAATTCAGGGCTAAAGAATGAAGTGGAAGAGAGGAAATAGACCAGAAGAATCTGAGCTCGATGATTAAAAAAATATCATAATGGCTCTTGATCAGCAAACCTAAGCCTTAAACAGCATCTGCATTACCAATGAAAGTACTTCATATTGACCATTCGATTCCTTTAATAATACTTAATTTTCCCCACTGATATTTCCAAGAACTTTTGACCAGTAGAACAAAAGTAACTTACCTTTTCAAACTCAAGTACTGTTTAGAATTAACCAACTGCAAAAGATGGAAAAGAAAGATCTACTGACGGAAATATTTTTCCCTTTGTAATTATTAAATACTTGGAGATACTATGAGACAATGCAAATACTGTTTCTGCTTAATCTTTCATCCACTGATTTTAGCATCCATCAGTAGTTCTTTCCTGAAGCTAACCAACTGCAGAAGGTGGAAGGACTGCACCTTCCTTCATTTTACTTACTCCAGAAAGGCCTAGAAATTGAGAATTTGGCAGCCAAGCCCAACGAATATAGCAAACATCAGTTATTATTATCCTATTTAGTGATCTATATAAGTACCATCAATGAGGTTAAGTATTTTCTCTGAACGAGGCTGCAGATAGCAGTGACCATTCAACTTTGGGTTCATTTTGGAGAAAAGAAACTTACCTCTTTAGGAGTTTTATATCCATCTCTTAAAAAGCGACAGCAACCATAACGACCCTGGTAATACAGAGAACAAAGGTCAGAAGCTTGTACATTGGTACAGCTATGTAATTAATCAGACATACATCCTTTGCAACATCTACATTTACCGACCTATCACCAATAAAGACGTAATACCTAAAAACAAAACAAAAAAACCTGAAATCATTCCAGCAGCATTAACTGATTTCAGCAATGTGATTTCAAGTGGAGGCGAAGCTA